CAGCTGACCCGAACTGGCCAAAGGGGTATTCCATACCATCTGACGTCATGCTAAACAATATATAGGGGTGGCTAGCTGGGGGGAGGGGGCTGGACTGCTCAGGGTTAGGCTGGGCATCAGTCAGCGGGTGGTGAGCAATTGCATTATGCATCACTTGTTTTGTACACACTATTATTAGTAGTAGTATTATCATCATTACTGTTATTATTATTATCGTTATTTTTATTTTCCTGTCTTAATAAACTGTCTTTATCTCAACTCACAGGCTTCACTTTTCCGTTTCTCTCCCCCATCTCAGAGAGGGAGGGGGGAAGGTGAGCAAATGGCTGTGTGGTGTTTAGCTGCCGGCCAGGTTAAACTACAACAAACTGGAACAGGTTGCCCAGAAAAGCTGTGGATGCCCCATCCCTGCCCATGGCAGAGGAGTTGGAACTAGCTGGTCTTTAAGGTCCCTTCCAACCCAAATAATCTTTGGTTCTATGATTTTATAATTACTTCTATAATTACAAACTAGGAATAAACTCCCATTCTTGATTTACTGTGCCTTGCTTATCCTCTATGGTTCACTATTCTTTCATGAAAATACCATATAGGCCCATAGCTTTGGCAGCAAATTGCACTTAATTCTGCTAGAATATTTTAAAAAATAGCCTAATTTTTAATATATTTTGGGTGGGATCTCATCTCTTCTGTCTTTTCTAACATACTGTTGAATGCAGTATTACTTGGAGAACTGAGTGTCAAAAAAATAACAAAATATAATATTTATACATTCTCTTCATAACACATCAGTACCCTGGCAGGGATGCTCAGTGGCAAGAAGGGACCAAGTAAACCATATACCTGTCAAGGCATATAGGTTCTTCCAGAGCACACAGAAGAATAAGAACATTCCTGAAGCCATGACAAGCAAAAATGGTATTCTTCTGTGATGGTAATTCACTTCACAGATCCCATAGACTTCCTCCTAGCTAGGAAAGGAAGTTGGATTTTTCAAGCATGCATTTGTTAAGAGAGAGAGGGGTACCTGAAGAGGCTGTTACGCATTGTCCATTATGTAGTACTATTACATATTACATAGTATTGCGTAGTGTATCTGTTTTTAGTTTGAACAATAACAGTCTTAAACAAACTACAAAGGTGAATTAACATTAGATCACTACTAGTAAAGGACAAGTTTTAGAGCCAGATGTTTCTCCTTTAAGTGATGCAGACAAAAATATGGATACATTTTGCTAAACACAGAACAAACAAGCAGACAGCTCTTTTGGATTAATATAATATTCAAAGTACAACATTTTAATGCAATTCAAAACATTAAAAAATAAAGGAAGTTAATTGATTTTAAATCTATGTCATTCTGCTTTTATGTTGAGTTTTATATCTGAATGTATTATTTTGCCATGCTACAATTTATGGTTTCATAATTACATTTTCCTGGCTTCGCTTTGTTTCTTAGGAAGTTTGTCTACTCTTGCACATAAGCAACAAAGCAAATTACCATCATGAAGTGAAATAGCAATAACTCATAACTTCTAAATGCACAAGATAAGAACAAGAATTTATTTTCCAGTCTTAAGAGTATTTACCCATTACCACCATAGGTAGGATTTATAAAGAAGTGATATATTTTACAATTTTATTCCTTTTACAATGTTCATGAACTATTTAAAGAGTGATATGAACAGAATAGTGGGTAGAAAGTTCATTATATTGCAATTTTGTTTTCCCATGCTTTTATTACAAATATAGTATTCATAATTGACGTATATAAGTCACAAGATAAAAAATAAAACAAAGTTAACATTCAAGAAAGAAGTTTTCCTCATTTGTGATGGTTTTGTATTCCTGTGAAAACTTTCAAGTGTTTTTTAATGCTTCCTATGGTCAAAATATAGAAAATGCATATTATTTTTGGTAGTTATAAAGACATAGATTATGCCCATGTACTCTTAGACTTCAGATTCAATGAAAACAATTTTTTCCATTACAGTTAGAAATGAAATAACTGTCTGTGAAATTATATGCACCTAGTTATCTAAATTGCCTACTCTGCACACATTTTAACAATTATGGATATTTTCTGCATTCAGAATATCGTTTCCAATAGGTCACCTTGCAGAATTCTGTTCCCTCTTTCTTTAGTAGTCATTTATCCCATTCAGCTCCTTGAAGCAAAATCTGTATTGATCTTTAATTAATTACTAAACTACTAAAAAGTTCAATGGGTTATTTGATATATCAAAGCTACGACCTGAAAATCTGAATTGTTACTCACATTATGACTTTTCTTCTGATATCATTTCTTACGCCAAATAATATGTCACCTCACAAGTGATCTTCATGACTTCAGTATGACCATTTCCAAAAACCTCCTATGCATATATGAATGAGATCAGCATCTTGTTGTTTAAAAGCAAGATACACCTCCATATTTCTGTATAGAAATGTAAGTGGTTTCTCAGTCATACTGAGTAAATAAAGATACAAAAAAGATAAGGAACATTCTGTATATCTGCAATACAATATTTTATAAAACTATTTCACAGTTTCATTAATTGTCAGTGACTGACAACTCTCCTTCAAAAGCAAATTTATTCCTTCTGAAAAAGTTTTTTCTACCCCTACTACTTTGATTTTGACCTTAAATATCAATGTTTAGAGGAAGATTTACACAGGAGGAACGGAACAGGACAAGACATGGGTAAGGTGACTTAATTAAAAGTAAATCACATCACTCAGAAATTATTTCTCCAGTATTTTCAGTCTGCTACATTATTGGCAATACTATTACCTGTCTAATATCTTTCTCCTACTTAAGGATTAGGCAGGACATTATTATACCTATATTATGATTACTGTCAATGCTTCTGAATTCTAGGGCTCCCTTATGTACTTGCTTAATCTTAATTTCCTTCTAATTTTAACAGGAAAATAGACTAGTCATTTTTCCATGTAACACCAGGTTTGAGTAAAGACCAACAATGCCTGGCATAAAGACTTTCACGTGGACAACACATTTTCATCAGCTCAAAACATTATTTTCTGGTAAGGAGAAGTGGGGATTAAAAAAAATAATAATAATTTTTAAAAATAATAATAAATAATAATAATAAAAAACCTTGACAATGAGAGTGAAAACACACTTCTACCAGGGACCTCTGCAGTTCCTTTCTCACCTCAGAAACATCTTTTCCACCATAAAGGCTGCAGACACACAGGCTTCAAATTGTTAACCTTACTAGCATTAGCTCAGGACCAATCTGAAAATTAGGACAGTAGATCCTCTTATTTAGCTATTATTTTTGTCCAACTCTAATTTTAGGGTTTCATGTTTCCCTTTAAAAGACTGAAAGTTTTTATCTTTTCACATTAAAATCAAATATCCATTAGTTAGGACAGCATAGGCTGGCTGCAAAAGAAACATTTTTTGTTATCTGTAACAAAACGTTACTGTAACAAAACGTTATCCTTGGAACCACAAGTCTGTCTTGATAAGGGATATTTCTTCTGTACAGCAGTGATTTCTATTTCAGTGTACTTTGGTTGCAAAGAATTCAGATACATTTCATCTCTTCAAGAGACATATAGTTCTTATGAAAAAAATGTTCTCAACATAAATAAGGATTCTGAGCGCTTGAAATGTCTTTTCACTTTCAACTATGTCAAGTGCTTTTCTCAATAACAAAATTTAAAATATACATTGGAAAATCTGATTTTTTTTTTTTCCTCATTTGCTGTATTTTAATGTATACACAAGTTTATTTTATATACTTGGTCAGAGAAGCACTGCCTGAAAGTGATGTAACTGTATCATTTTTTATCATGGAGATTTATATTTATACATCCATTTGTGAAATGACTCCTCATTCCTTAAATTCCCCTGCTAAATGTTATTTGAAGATAAGGAAATCTGTTTAAACAGAGATGTCCCTTTTTGGAAAAAAAAAAAAAAAAAAAAAGCTACAGATTTTAATTCATCATAAATTGATTTTATATTCTAACACAGATCTGAGATATTAACATGGAAGTTTGTTACTTGCTCCTGTCCAGGATTGACTCAGCTTGCTGATTTGGACAGGGATAAGCAGTTATTATGAAATCTGAAGAGCTTTGTTTAAAACAGAAGCTCTCAAACTGAAGTTATAGAAGGCTTACCTGAATAAAAATGGGAAAATAGGAATTTTTAATTTTTACAGTTTACCAGACAGGGAAAAAAAAAGAGGTCTGCATTCAATAAAGATATTCAGACACTCTCCAGAACCAGTACTATATTTTTACATAATGTTGCCATACCATATGATTGCCTTTGGCTTATGAAATTTCATATGAATGAGCAGATTCAGAAGGGAAACCCTGAAATAAGTTAAATTCAACTATATGTATTTTTTTAAACAAGCTGTAAATTGAATACCAACAACTTGCATGTGCTGATATTAATTACCATATCATGAAATATTGCATCTAAATTATGAAACTGTTTGGGGACTTAAGAAAAAATAGTAACAAATTCAGAAATGCAAACCACGGAACAGCTGAAATAAAATATACTAGAGAGGAATGAAGAAGAAAACATTTAATTTTGACTAGAAAAATAAAACTGAAAAGTGGTCTGGACTCATCACTACAAGTTAAGAAAACATCAATCACAGCAGTTTATACTTACCATTCTAATAATCCTAGTACTTTCTGAAGTGCCTTCAGCAAACACAAATAAGGGAAAATGAAAAACAGACAGTGCAAGCTTGGAAATCCGTAAGACACTGGAATTGATTTAGGTATTTGTGTGTGTGTGTTTCCTAATTTAGTCACATGAACTATACAAAAGGTAAGAGTTAATGTTTGTTGACTATTAATAAACCTGTTTAAAATCTGAGCCGTTAAGAAAAACTCTGTTTTAAATACAAGGGAGTGAAATTTGAAATAATTAGTTCAATTAACCAAAACTCTATTCTAGGCATTGCAACATGAAGCGATAACATAAACTAGAAGAGTTTTACCTCTTGAGGTTAGGAGCTTGAATCTCCAAATCCTTTGTGCTTTGACAGTTTATTGATGTTGTCATGAGAAGTTCCAGGTGGGCTTTCTCTATGAAAGAAATTTCACCGTTATTTTTGAATTGGCTAATGACTTCTCTGTTTAATCATTTCTCACATATAATGCAGTAAGAGAAGAACACTCAAAGAATATTAAGCCAGCAGGATGCCCTATTGAGAAGCCTCGCATTGTTGACTTTATTCACAATATGTCATCCATCCATCCCATGTACATACAGAAGACCGACAACTATGCTAATTAGAACAACATCATGCTGGTATAGTTTTTAGGTAAAATGGCAAGTACAGTCCTGACCATTCACTGAACAGTAACAAACCCAAAAAAGCTCTGCAAAACAAAGGAGAAGTGTGTCCAATTATTTCTTTGTTTAAGTTTCCTTTTTTTTTAACAGTTGCCAAACAGGCTGCCACATACTGAAAGGCATCACAAGATGCATGAACAGGGGCACAGACATGCACAGCTGAAACTGATGAACGCCTTTTCATTCCACATTTCCTTAGAAGGTTTATTTCAGTGAATTATTATACTATCTTAAATTCGGATTCAACAAATATTACATAAAGCAAACTAAGCTTAATTTGCTACATCAAATCGTTAAGGTTGTGCAAGTATTCTCAATCCTATGTGCAACTATGCTACTTTTGATGTCTTACTTTAGGGTGTGTCTAGAGGACTGTACAAAGGATAGACTGGAGCAGCAGGAAAGAGGGCAAAGTCAATTTAGATTTAGATATCTTGAAACACCAGCCACAAGGCATCTATGAATCTGGTCTGTTGAGGTCCATCCGAGCTGCTGCTGTTGTTAAAGCTCTGACAAGAGCATGCTGCTTCCTACCAAAACCACCACGAAGCACTGAGCTTCCCAGTGCAGGTGTCAAAAGGATTAAGTCACTTTCTTGTGGTTTAACACAGCATCTGCTTCGCTCCTTAGTGCCAGTGCACAACATGACTAAAGGAAAACTCTCAGACTGTGATGTCCCTCCTGGTGCAAGCACACAGCAAGTCAAAACCTCTCAATTTGCATTGCAATTAGGAGACAAGGACAAGCTGTAAAACCAAAGATGGACAAATCTGATATGAAAACAAATTTCATGCTCAGGGTTCTCAGGTGTTTTTATTAGGACTGACAAATTAGAAGTATGATTTGAGAGAAATCTGAACCTGACTCACCACTGTTTTGCTGCAACTTTACCCTTGCAAAAAGGATGATTTTGATGGTATTAGCTACTGCAGTGCAAACCTAGGCAGGACCAGTATTTTTAAATCTCACTTGTCCCTTATTATTCAAAGGGAAATCTGTTAAAACCCCACATTTGTCACCAGTGATACCTCTTAGCATTGTCACACTCAAGTTGAGCAAAGCACACCATGGAGGAGAATTACAAGGATTTTACAATTTTTACAATTCCAAGGACAGATATATTGTTGTATGTCAAGGAGTTAGTGATGCACACAGCCATTAACCTGGGCAGATCCAGGCCCAAGCTGTGCTGCAACTACAGTGTAACCATCAGGCTGTGTGGGACAGCTGTGCACATCCCTCGGGATGTTGATTGTAACAAAGGAGACCGCAGGCAGCTCCCACTCAATACTAGCAAGTAAACTACCTACATGTCCTTGCATCTATCAAGAGTTACAGCAGCAAGTTCCCATGGGAACACTCTTTGTTGGATAGCAGAAATGATGAATAGATTTGTTTTCCTTGTAAGAAAATCCTGTAAGAGCTCAGAGGAGCAAACCAGTGAGCCTCTATATGGGCAGCAGATCACATGCTGCACTGTGATCAGAGTCCCATTCGATGCTGCACAGCTCAGAGCTCCCACCATTTGAAGGGACATAGGTGTACCTATAGCGTTTTGTGTTAACTCCGACAAATAGCATTTAAACTTGTTCTTTTCAGAGTCTGAGTGCCTTTCTTATCAGGATCATAAAAAACAGCACCTCCTGGTGCAAAATAGGGAAGAGTCTCATGGGTGTTTAAATTCTGCTTTAATTCCTCTTGTCTGATCTTGGGGCATAGTTGTTCTGGGCAAAATGTTTGTTTTCCCTTCTCTGCATAGGAGGGAAGTGAATGTTAGGACTGAGATGGCTAGCAAAGAAACTCATGTTTTTCCACAAGAACAATGCTAGCTAAACTGCTATTTAAAATGCATGTATAGTATGATGTCCAGAGACTTAAAAAAAAAAAAATGTTCATCACAAGTAACTGTCATGCCAAGCAATGCTTTTAACTAGAGAAGTGTTATTGCTAATCAGAACAGACTAAAGGAGCCTCTAAAGCAGCTTACTGCCCTGACTATCATTCAGTGGGAGATTTTCCATCTGAAAATCTGTGTGATAGAACATTATATAAAAAAAAAAAAGTGTGAATATCAAAACTACAAAAGGCTCAATATTATGTAATTTGTATTTAAAGAGTCATCAGAGTGTTCTGTTGGACTGCCTTGTAAATACTTATTTTGTTTTCTTTTTAAGTGCTTAGGTGCTTGTGGTGATTTTACCCAGCTGGGCAGCTGAGCTCCACAACTGCTCTCTCCCTTCTTCTCCCTCCCCCTCAAAGGGAAAGGGGGAGAAAATACAATGGAAAGGACTGAAGAGTTAAGGACAGGGAGATCACTCAACAATTATCGTCACAGGCAAAACAGACAGCATAGGGAGATTAATAAAATTTATTACCAATTGATAACAAGCAGTGAGAAACTAAAACCAAACTAAAAACGTTCTCCACATCCACACTCTTCTACCTCCTCCCACCATGCAGGGCAAGGGAACAGGGAATGAGGGCTGTGGTCAGTTCCTAACACTTGGTCATCTGCCGCTCCTTCACTCTCTGCTCCTGCCTCCCACGGGATGCCGTCCTTCCCAAATTTATCCTGCAGGGGCTCTCCATGGGCTGCAGCATGGAGATCTGCTCCATGTGACCCATGGGCTGCAGGGGGAAAGCCTGCTCCACCAGGGGCCTCTCCACAGGCTGCAGGGGAACTGCTGCTCCCTGCCTGGAGTATCTTCTGTCCTCCTGCACTTGGGGGCTGTGGGGCTGCTTCTCAGTCCCTACTCTCACAGATGCTGTTTGCAGAAAGTTTTTTCCTTTTCTTAAATCTGCTCTCACAGGGGTGCAAACAACATCATTTATTGACTTGGCTCTGTCCAACAACGGATCCCTTTGGAGCTGGCTGAAACCAGCCCTTATTTAACATGGGGTAGCTGCTGGATTCTTCTCACAGAGGCCATTCCTGCAGCCCCCTGCTACCAAAATCTTGCCACATAAACCCAATACAATACTTAAAATGCTGGAGGCAAATAGTATGGAGGAGTCCTGACAAAAATCCTAAAATGAATGGATCATGTCCTACAGAAATCTCAAGATCCTGTCCACTTCAGATGATATCCTTAAGAGCAGAGCCAAAATCATGATGTTAGTCTCTCACAGACCTGGTGGGGTACTACGTGTCAAATGAAAAAAAAAATCACGTTTTCCTTGAAGTTCTATAGGTCTTACTTAGCCAAGGACAGCAGTGGTTTTATTTTATTTTATTTTATTTTTTTTAATACCTTTACTTGCTTTCCCTTTCTAGATTTATTTCTCTTCTGACTTGGAGTCTGCTTCTGTAGCCAAGCATCAGATATGACATTCTGGTTTGCATGCAAGTTAAGAGGAGCTTTGGTATTCTACTTATAAAAAGGTAAGCATTGGGCAAAAGCATAAAAAATTGCCAGTGGCTTGCAGTATTTGATATAGCATTTACTGTTCCACTGGATTTGCTGTGGATAAAAGACAACTTCAAACAAGTACAAGCTCACTTATTTGAAATGTACCACAGCTTTTATACAAAATGAAAATGAGTGCTTAAAGAATACATGAAACAGGCATCATAACATATACTTAGGAAATCAAAATGAAAACAATTTGTTCGTAGAAAGAGTTGCAGGTATTCAAGTTTAATTTTTTTATCAGTATAACTGCATAGTTCATTGTCATTAGATTGCAGACTATTCTAGGCATTGTAGATAGCAAGAATGCAGACAAAAATAATAAAATCAATGTTCTTTTTAAATACATGTGAAGTAGATACCAACAATTTGATTATTCTCCATGAGTGATACTATCATTATCCTGATATAAAGCATCCTCATTCAGGTTAATAAACATCAAGATTTATCTAAATTCATTTCATTCTTTGCTCTAGCAAATATAATAAAACTTCAGTAATAAGCATTTTCTTTACTCTCAAGAGCATAAACTGAAGAAGAAAATCAAAAAAACATTTTTTTCAAGTACTGACGCTGGAAATTGCTGATATACTGAAAAAAAAAAAAATAGAGACAGGAAGAAAGCCTTTCTGATTTTAGCAAGGAAAAATAACAGGAGACAGAGTTTAATAAATTAAAGAGAATGAGGAAGGCAAAGATGCTACATAATAGTTAGAAAATGGATTGGAGTACACACAATTAAAAATTTACCAAGTGCCTTTATGATGTACTTAAAACATACATTTCTAAAAGGGCTAAAAATACACAGAAATCCATAAGGCATCATAATGCAGTATGAATACTGTATATCAACAGAGGATGAGTGAGCTGACAATATTTCTAATATTTCTAATATTTCTAATATTTCCTGTTAAATTAAAACCTCCAAATGGCTACTGATATCCTTCAAAAGATTCCCTTTGAATTACAATGGAATGAGGTCTTTAAAGTGATACGAAAACAGCAGTTTTAGAGAGGACAAAAAGTGACAGCTTTTGGAATGATACATAACAGCTCCTTAGCATCTGTCCTTGCCTTAGAATCACAGAGGTCTAAGCAACAAAAAGTGTTTTGTTTCTACACCAGATAATATTGCCAAACTTACATGAGTTCAGTACATGAAGGAATTTGACAGTAAAAGCAACTTTATGGAAACTACCCAGTACAGCATGCTATCCAGTTACTAAAACTCTGGTTTACAGGTAGGCTTTTTGAATTATCAGTATGACAACAAAAATGGATGGAGTTTTTGATAAAGCAAATATTTTTTTTTCAACATGTAATTTAAAATGTTATGAAAAGCAGGAGAATACTGATGTGTGCTTTGAGTCCCAAGTGAGTAAGGAGCAGAAGCATTGTGAACACTTTCTTAACTTGTTTGGTCAAAGGCTTAAAGTCAGTTATATGAATAAAGATTTTATGGACTTGGGATTTCACATTGCACATTTTATCAGAGGATCACAGAACTCTGTTGAAGGTAGAGTTTCCTCATTTTTACAAGCAGAAAGGCAAGATACACTGAAATAAACTTGGTCACAGTCACACAGCAATTCAAGGACATTGCTAAGATGAGACCTAGTCCTTCCATTTCCCCAGGCCAAATCACTAGACCATACTGCCTTTTAAAGACAGTTGAAGATATAACTCATGGAAAATGGTGACAAGTGCACTGATGGGTAAGATACCTTAGAATCTTTCTAGAGATTACATTTATTAATCAAAAATTGACTCTGCAGTCATTTTAAAACTGTTATTCATGGAATATCTTATTTGTCTGTTAAATACGTGAAGGAAAAAAGTATGAAAAATTAATAAAATTATTTGAAAATATAACTTTCCTTGCATACACAACTGTACAGAAAGCTGTAGTTTATAGAAATAGCTATGCTGGCCAAGCCTGGTCTGTTACTTCCCTTGGGGGGGAAAACTAAATCCAAGAAAGCACTTTCTTTCTTCTCTCGCTCTCTGCCCTTGGCAGTACACCAGCATGTAAGTGAAATCTGCTACTGTGCAGTCGTGCTATGAACTAAAAATGAAAAGAAGAGCTGGAAAATAATGGGAAGGGGAAAATGGCTGTGCAAACTATTCAAGCTCTGAATTAAGAAGTCTAAGCTGGCAATCTCATTGTATGTCATATAAGGTTTCGCAGTTTTGTTGCTAAATGTTGGAAATTTCAGTTGATGTAAAGTGCTGATCAGCAAGCTTCTGCTCTCCAAAATGACTTGAGGAAAAGAAGAAACTACTCAGACATTAGCATGAGGTACAGAATTAGAAAGAACAGTTTGGGGCTAACAAACCTGTCAAAACTAAACAGGAATGTTGCACAGTGAAAAACTCATGGAGCTGCAGATGAAAGCAAACCAAAACAAAATTACAAAGCAAAGTATAACTAGTAATGTCTTTTACATTTTTCTACAAGAAAATTTAGGAAAACTTATTCCTTTCTTTTAATGTTATGTCTACCCTTTTGAAGCCCCTCAGAGTGATGAAGCTTGGGGGTATTGAAGTGAGCTATTAGTATTCCAAGGTCACCCTAGGAGGGATGTGACACTGGTGCTAAGGTTTCTTCCTCCTCAGTTCCCAGGTCCACTTGCATTGCTTTTTATATGTTCCCTTTATACATTTCCCATTCTTTACACATTTCCTGAGACATGTGACAGACTGCTGCCTGCCTCAAGCAGCAGCAAATATAACCGTATTTACTGGGCTACAAAATCAAGCAATAAAGGTCTGAGAGGTTTTCCTGGACTTCTGGGACACTTGGAGATGTGGACGTGATCCAACTGTTCAGGCAGGCTCTGAAGTTTCATCTTTACTTGTCCTTTATATGGTACTCAAACTGCTCTAGAAATGCATGCCAAGATATGGAAGATAAAACAAAGATTTACTTTAAGAATACTATGAGGATTTACCACATCTTTTACCACTCCTGGACTCTTTATTTATTTATTTATTTTTTAAAGTAACAGTTACAAAATACCATCCTCTCCACAGATGATATATGAATAATATAATAATATGTAATATATGAAGAAAAGTCCAAAGGGTAACTTCCCTTGAAGGAAAAACAAACAAACAAACAAACAAAAAAAACTATATATTCCTTATCTGGTGAAAATATGTGCCAGAATGAACCTTGGTTTTCACAAGAATTGAAGACTCAGAGATGAAAATCAACCTGTGTATGGAAAGGGTAGGTATCTACTACAGAAAAGTTTGAGAACTACTGGAAGCTTAGAAATGTGCATGCACATAAAATACTGCTGAACACAAGAACTTTCCTTTCTCACATGTCAAACATTACAATCATCTTGATAAACTCTCTTGATCTTTATCCTTCCCCTTAATTATGCCTTTTCTGTCTTTTCTTTTCCACGTGAAGTTTCCGTCATGTCTTTTCAGAGTCTCCTTCTCCAGCAAGACAAACACAATCCCTTTCAGTGCCTATGCACACGACTGCATTTTCAACTTTCTAGCCAATTTCAACCATACTGAATGATGAAGTTTTGTTATGCTCCTGCAAAGGTTGTGAAAATGGGCAGCCAGGTAGGGGAGGAGGGCTTGCTGGGCACGATGCTGAATAACAAGCTCAAGCATTATTAAAGTCCAGAGAATCACCAAGAAAAGTAACATTACAAGTGCCTCAATCCCAGGAAAGGCTTCATTCGCAGTTCACACACTTTAGAACAACAAAGGCAATCAAACTTCATTCACCCTGGTGATGTGAATTATTTTTTTTCCACCTTATTTCTTACTGGGAAGTAAGGAGAGACTAAAATATAGCCTTATGTATTGAGAAAGCTATAATGGTCTTAGTTCAGGCCACATGCATTTTAGTGAGCTGAATTTTGCATTCTGTTTGCCTGCATTTCCTTCATATAGCACTAAAAATTCCCCTGAAAGCCATGAAATTACCAATTTGAAATTGCAGTAAGAATATTTCAAGTTTTTACCACGTCCATTCAGTGTAATGTTTTTCAGGAAACTAAATCTGTATTGCACCGTTGTGTTTTTTCCTCTGAAACTATGGTCACTGAAATTAAGTATCAGAATTTTAATATCTCATATAATCTGTGGCAGATGCTTTACTACCTCAACCTTTTCAATATGCTGTATTCTGATTATCCTGCCTTTCCCTTCCACACAGTTTACAGCCCCACTGAACAATGGGAAAAAATGTACTTGCCAGCAAACAAAACCACAAAACATTGCAGATGAAAGAGAAATGGTCAGAAGTTTCAAAAGCCACTGCACTATTTTATGTATTTCAGAAATATTAATAACCTCAGTGAGAATCCTTACCTTCATGCTATTTTAAGTAAGAGTAGTTTGCTATTGAAGGATTTTTTAAAAGATGCAGTGATGAACTGAGAATTTCATTAATTTTTCAATTTAAATATAAAATCACATAAAATGCTCCTCTTTCCATTGCAGATTAAAATACCCCAAGATACAAATTTTCCATTCCAGGTATTTGCCATAAAAGAAGAGAAAATGAAAGCCTGGTTTCTCAATACTGCAAAACAAGGAGATTCCACCAACCCCATCCCCTCATCCATTTTTACCTAACAGTACAAATTGCATCAGTTTCTTTAGTGTATGGGAGATCCATTTTTCATTCTGTCACCTGCTTGAGAAGGCTGAAATCTCCAGTTTGCAAAGAACACTGTCTCTCCAGAGAGCAGACTTGGACTTCAGAGTATTGGGCAGTCTGATAAGTCTCTTTCAGGTATTTCAATGTTTTGTAAGTCAAAAACAAGAAGACACTGAGATGCCTCGTGGAGATGTGGCATTGGACACATGTAACAGAAGTGATTCTTTTCTAAGCTTCAGTAATCTAATTTTTCTTTGCAAAACAGCTTAAATTACACTACGTGAGACCACTTCATCTCACCCAGGAATATCCAACAAGCCTGTACTAATCGTCCTTTTCTACTTTGCTGAAGCATATTCCCAACCTGCAGATTATTGGAAACAGAAAAGGAGAAAGTATTGCTACTGTTTAATACTCACTTCACTTCACCGTCAGAGGGGCACACATGACAGTGTCACTATCCACCCATCGTGGACTGGACTGAGTCCAACTCTTCCATCTTGTTCTCCCCACCTCCTGCCCCATAGCCCACAACAAATAGCACATTCCAACAGATCCAAGAATGGTCAGGTATTTGAAGGGAAGCCCATTACTAAAACAGAAAGAAACAGATAAATTCACAACAGACATCTGAATAGCCACAGGAAAACTATTGCAAATATAATATGTAACAGTTACTGAAGACTTAGAATGAGATAGAAAAAATATTACTTTGTACAATGGCAAGGCATAATAGAGAAATTAACTCTTTTAATCCCCCCCCTTTTTTTTTTTCATAATTAAGCAAAAGGCTAAAAATGATCTGAAGTGCCTACATCTTTGGACAACTTTCACATTAATGTCTACTCCTTCAAAATTGAATTCTGTATCATGGCAAAATGCACTTACGTAACAACAAAGAGTCTGCATTTCTTTACCCATTTTTCATCTGCTCACAAAGACAAGCATGGTATTTAAAGAACACAAGTTTAGCACAATAAAATGAAAAACTGAAACTTTCCGAAGTCTTCTCCAGCTGCAGTTGCTAATCTCACTGATCAACCACAAGCACTAAAATAAATATCTAATAGGTCTGAAATCATCCATGCTCAAAACCCCATATGACTTGGGGTTGCAGTTTACAGTACAGAAATGTTCCCACTCCACATAACAACATGAACTATCCTACAAGCAAAGCCATATCTCTTAAATCTTACTTATTATGAAAAGATCAGTGTCCTTAAACACCTGAATCATGCTGGATAATTGAATGTTGTTATAGTGTGTTTTTTTTTTTCCCTTTACTTTTAATATCTTAATAATAGTGTATGATAGAGATCCCATTTACAATTTTGGGATTTTTTTTAATGGTCTGACTTAAGAATATGTTTCATTCTATTAAACTAAAAACAAGCAAACAAACAAGCCTTCAATATTAGACCAGTGAAATGTTTCCTTTTATCTATTAATATACAGAACAGAATATTTAAACTAGTGATATTACTTTTCCTGTCCTACTTTTAGAAACATGACTACAAATTGCGGTGGACATATTTGATATACAAGGGGTTAGTTGTTACTTTCACAAAATAAAGAATTATCCTTTCTTTCAATACCCCACTGTATTTAAACACTGCCAGTTGTATATATCTGCAAGAGGTAGAGCTGGGCCACCACTACTCACCTCTGACCAATGAGAGGTCTCTCATTCTTATGACCAGAGGGACTAGTACAATTATTGAGCTCGATGAATTCCAGTACAACTTTAATTTGGCTTAGAGAATGATTTTGTTTTATATCTAAAGTATGGTTTAATACATACTTATGAAAAATTAATTAATTAATTTTGTGAAATTATGAAATAAGCAGATGAAATTGATTTGGTGTCTGAACTTGGCAAATAGGGAAACAAAGATTAACAGAAGTATTATTTTATGTTCATTCGTTTTCTTGACACGACTTAGGATCCAAATTTTTTTCTGTCCTTCATAAAATGATCTTTGAATGGTGGTCACTTACTTGGTTCAGATCACTGAAGATAAATTCTTCATCTTTTTAAAAATAGACTTTCCCAGTAAGAATTTCTACACAAAAATACCACTTAAATGTGTCACTTTCCCAATCAAAATATTGGATATCATTTCACCACAACTAACTAACTAACTAAATAAATAAATAAAAAGAAACTAGAACTTGTGCACAAACTTTGGGCTTTGTTGAGATTTTCCTCATTTTTTCACTGCTATCTCTAGTCAAATCCTGAATTACTCAGTGTATCTATAATATTGCTATCTCCTGTTAAGTAATGAAATACCACCAGTTAGAGCCCCTAGTTATCACCTTACAAAGTTCCTTCAGATCATTCACATTAGTGGCTACAAAATGCAGCATGTTATAGAGACCCTGATATCTGCACTAAACTGCAGGAGATCACAGCTGTACCCAAGAAATGTTGCATTTGCAGCTCATCCACCTGCCAGATAAGAGCTCATTAGCTTGCATACAGAGCTGTATTGCTTTTAGAAGCCAATCAAAACCAGAACTGCATGCAATATATATATATGCACGCCTCCCCAGTTTTTTAATTTGGCCATGGCTTACAGTACCTTTTCAATATCTTCCAAGAATGTCTAACTAGTGGATATAGCGTGCACCTTTTGTTTCTTTTGATTACTTGCACAAATGATTTTCAAAATGTGCAAATAGTGCAAATGTGCGAATAGTTATTTTTAAATGTGCAAATACATTTTTTCCAGGAAAAAAAACTTTACAGCCAGAATTAGCTCCCAGGAATGCAAGTTGGGTAGACTGGCACTAGCCACAGCTAGCTTTGCTGTGGCAGCTGTGAAGCTCTTCCAGATTGTTCTTTCAGGAAATGTATGAATATAAGATAAATTAAAAAAAAAAAAAAAAAAGCTACTGGTATTCCCTTTTACAGATTATGCCTGCCAAACAGGCAAGTAATACTTGAACAAAAGTGCCATTTATGTAAACTAACTGTTTATGAAGTTCTTGATGTGTTTCTTATGCAATTATCTCTCAATGTTGCATCCTGACACACAGAGAAGGCTACAACAGCTGTTCACTTTATAGCCAACTGTTATTTTTGCCTTCATACAGATAGTTTTCCAACATTTGTATGTACATATATATATACACGCATATATATCTAAATGCACAAAAATGCATTTACTTATACACTTGCATATATATCTTAATAATTGGCTAAGAAAGCAGGCTTTCATTTTGCTTCATAGTGAATCATTGCATACCAAAACTGACACTTCTGATGAATGGCTGGGTGAGTTAAAACAAAATTAAGAATTAGAAGTAGATGGGTTTAAACAGAGATACTTTCTTCAGGAAAACAAAATAAAAAGACAAACAGAAAACAAACAAACAAAACAAACAAAAAACAGGGTAAACCACTGTTTTTATTCTTATAAAGTCTATACTTAACTTACCACATCTGCTGTCTGAGTTTTATTCTGTCTTGCACACAAGTCAAGAAACAGAAAGCTGGATTCAGTCATTTCACTCACACCAAGCAACCCGTTTCTTCATGTTCCATTAATCACTGTGAGAACATTTCATTAATCATTGTAGGAAAAGGTATCAGACATGGTCTACAGCAAACTCCGAATATTACACTAGATCAAGCAAATAAATCTTCATTTAAGAAAGATAAAGCTGCTCTTCATCCCCTCCTTAAAAAAAAAAATAAAGCAAGTACCAACTGGATTCATCAGTTTCCTCTGGCTGCTTACCACTGCAACACAACATGAAATACTGAATATACTTGCACCGCCACTGCAGCTGTCCAGAGGAGAGCCAGTTTGCCTTTTTAGCTGACAAATGATCAGGATGTAAAGGTAGTAGAGGAAAAAGAAGAACTAGCTGTTAGCTGTCATACCCTTTCCCACTGAACACACAGAAGACACGCCAGAGAAAAATAAATGGGGACAGACCACAACGGAGCAGAGCTCCTCTATTTAAAACTTCTACCTGTATGAAAGATAACAGCTACACTAAAATAATATTGGATGCTATTGCACCTATAACATAACAGATGGATATAAAATAAGTATATAAAGTATAATAAGTTAGAGAAGTTTCTCAGATCACTGGTATCTGCTATTACCAAATATTAATGTAGCAGTAGGTTTGTCATTTGCAAAGCCTGACATGAGAAAGTGTTGGCAGATCCATACTGGAAATTTTAATCAAAGCTCAAGAGCAATACTACTTCAGGAGAGGCTGCAGTGAAATCCCCTCTGGTTTTGGAGGGAGCATTCTGCAGAACTTTCTGGTCATTCAATCTTCCAATCAAATCAAAGCTCACTTTAAATGTCCATCAATTTCTTACCAAGTTCTAAAGAATAATCTTGATGTTCCTCCAAAGTCAAAATATTGAGCTGATAGGCATTCAGAATCCTAGGATTCTCCATGTTAATATCATAACACTATTTGTAGCATGTGCCTGACAACACGCAGTTAGTATAAACGAAACCAAACACCTTTCTAAGTTCAAACAAATAAGAAAGAAAATATTAAGGCACTAAATAAAAACAAAATGCAGTTAGCACAAAGGAACAGTGAAAGAGATGAAACACGAAAACTAGTGATAAACTTAGGATTTTATCAATAGTCAAATTTAAAATCTCCTTATCAGGAAGGTTTCTAATGTGCGTAGCAAGACATGCTTTAAACTAATATTGCTGTTATGCAGAAATTTCTTATTTGGCATCTCTTTCTAAAGTTCATAGGGTAAATTTTTCTAAAAGGAACACTGAAAATATTTATTCATAAATAAATATATTCCAGAACAGTTTTAATGGCATTTAACCACCCACTTATGTGCAGTCACCCATAACAAGTATATTGTTTCTATATACTGTAATTACAGTACAAGATAAAAGTCTCATATGTACAACTAACCACTTAGTAAATGATAGGTTATGTTGATAATTACAGACATTGCTGAAATCACAAAATGAAAATCTTTTTCTAAGTTTCCTAATAATCTTCCCTGTAGGCAGTTCTCCTATTATACGTGAATTCTATAGAAGCCTTAAGAAATTGTCATAATGCAGAAATATTTGTTTGAATAGTTCCTGCTGCCATCAGCAAACTATAATTTATCACACTCTGGGATACACAGGCTGTCATTAATTCAACTTGCATCTGTAAGTGCTTATTTATTCCATTCTGTGGTCACATGGTCAAAATTTGGTCTAAACAGCATCAGTAGCATCTTGCAGGATTTCTTGATGACATTGAAAGAAAGTTCTTCCATGTTGTTTGTTTATAAACATCTTCCGTACAGGCTTTGAAACTATTACTCAGTAATCAGTGGTAAAGGCAGTGAAATATTTTTTTAATACTTTTTTAATTTCATCTTTGATGGCACAGGGAAAAGCAAGAAACAAACCCAAAACAAACTCTTTTCTAAGGGCTCACAAATTAAAGCAAAGACTACATCATTTCCAAAATGCTGAGAAAGAGGCCACGAAGAAAAAAAAATTACTTTTTATTTTTTACTTAAAATGAAGCTAGGTTGAAGAGTATGCTATTCACACCTAAGCTGCTTGTTTCTCGATATTGTTTTTTCATTAGAAGACTTAAATCAATAAAAGCATGGGGTCTCCTCTCATCTCAAGAATAGATCTCAGAAGCACTTGCCTTTTTCCTTGAATAAAAACGGAAAGAAGAAATGATGCATCTTTTCTGCATTCCTCTCTACTGGTGACATCTTTCTTTTCTCCTCACATATGTATGTAGTCATTAAAATAATCATTCAGCACTTCTAGTCCTGAAGAACTCTTTTTGTTTCTCCAATCAATTCATGCATTCTATTATCTGTCCAATAGGAGAGAAAAAAAAAATTACTTACACAGCTATTCTTCAGGCAGGTGGACACTTCCATTTTATTTCTGTATAAATAAGGGTGAAATTCTAAGACCAAGACTAAGTCATTCCAAGACTAAGTCTTGGAGAAGTCAGCTAGTCCTCCTATCTAAAAATAAATGGAAAGTCCTCTCATCCAAAGAAAATGTGCATAAAACATGACAAAAGTTTTGACCCAAGACAAACATTTTAAATAACTGTTATTTTAAGAGTTATTGTATATAATTAAGAGAACTCAAAATGAGCAGGTGTGTGCTTCCTAATGAATGCCTATCTCAGGGCTTCTTAAGGAAAACATCTCATTATCTCAATCACAAGATGTTAAAAAGTGAGAAACAAAAATAAAAAGGAAATATTTTAGCAACTAAGACGTACAAAATACAATGTGATGTACGCTATTCCGGAGGCTTTATCACAAGCTTCATTATAATTGGTATTTTACTTAAAACTTCAGTTTCTTGAGGTCACTTGGAAATAAAAGAATTTTAGATTTCACTCTTTTCTGTTCCTCTAGACTGCAAAGAAATCATTGAATCTAAGGACTGAAAAAAATAGGCAGATACAAAGAACCAACAATTAATCACTTAAATGTAATCTTGTGTTTTGTTTTGTTTTACTTCTGAACACTGATGCATGATTTTTGAATGCTGGATGTTGGCAACACTTGATTCCTGTGATCATTAAAGACAAATAAATATTTGTGGTTAATTAATACACATTCTCACAAACATTTGGTATTTTATTATAACTAATTTAAGGGGTTTGTTTTTTATTGCAAAGTGAACTGTCTCATGAGTGCCAAGATTTGAAACCTTGTGAGAGGTTTTATATGTGTACTTTTATATGTGTGCTAAGATCGTGGGATTTTGAAGAAAGAAAGAAAGTAGCAGTTTAGCAAACACATTTCATTATAGAATGTATGTGTTAGTTTACAGCCCCACTAACTTCCTGCACCTACTGTCAACATGAATGATTGAAAATGAGCAGTAAAAAAAAAAAAGTCTCTCTCTGTATATTACCTATTTACATGAGAGACATACACAAAGACACATTCACATATGCCCTTCAAAATCATTACACATCTCCATATGTATATCTCCATCTCACATCTCCTTGCTGCAAGACTTTGAAAATAAACATGTTAAAGACTAAAAATTTAGTGGTTTAGTTACAGCTTGTCAAAGAAAAAGAGAACTGTGGTGGGTAAAACATTAATACCTCTCCTACCTTCTCTTTTATGCTGAATAAATTATTCATTTGTCATTTATTAGCTAACTGTGCATATTTTATCATTTTTTAAAGATTAATAATTACTTTATGCAACTCAGTATTTACATGCAACTCAGTATTTACACTGAATTTGTATGACTTTTTTGCACACTGACAGTTTAAACACTCTGTCATATAAAATACAGTGATTACTATTGCCTTCTCTGAAAGGAGGTTGTAAAAACATGTCTCATTAATTTTATGAGGTCATCCAATTTATGTAAGAGAGTACTGGAGATTTCAGCTTGCAGCTGTAAGGCAATCAGGTCCCCGTGGGTGCACAGGTAGTCCTGTCTGGTGGTAGCTGGCATTGCAGCTCTACCACCCAGTCCCCTCTTCAGTATTTCTTTTTCCTGCTTCAGCAACAGCTGCCTGGTCACACATGATGACAGCAGCATGCAGCTCAGCACTTGAGGGCTCTCTCATGCATGCAAATTTCACTTAAGGACTCTGTCCTAATCTGGGGTTCTCCACTTCCACTCATCCAACTCCTATGCCAGTGCTTTTCCAACATTATCGTGTTCCTTGTAGGATCTTACATTCCCTCTTTTTCTGCATTGCTGCAGATATCCTCAGAATCCCCTATACTGGGCCTTCCAATAACAGCAATGCCCCCACTCATTTTTTCTGGAGTGCTGTCTGAAGGAAAGGAGGAGCATGCAGCGATGCACCTAGGTCCAGGCCCATGATGATGGCGCAGGCTGTTGCTGAGAGGCAGAATGGAGAACAGGTTTTCCTAGATCACAGACATTAATAGGTGTGTCACTTTTCTCCTGCGAGTTTAGAAACTTAGTATTCTTGAGCAGGTAGGTCCTTTACATGTAATTGAAATGCATTAATAGGATCAAGTATTATATTTGAGATCCGAAACAATAGGAAATCATTTATTGTCAGCTAGGATAAAAATGTGCACTTGAGTCATTTCAGTGGAGGTGGATAGCCTAAGATAGCCAAAGATAGCCTAAGATAGCCTAATTCCCAACATGAGAAGTCACATATACTCACAAATATTAATTGCAATGCAGAAAGAAAAAACAAAACCAAAAACAAGCAAACAAACAAACAAAACATTAACCTCAGTGCAAGTCTGTCGCTAAGTTCTTCAAGTTTCATTGAATTGGAAGTGATTGTATATTAATAGATAAATTACACCTTGTGTTACCACTAGAAAGACTATACCAATATAGAACAGAGATACAAGAATTTGTGTCAAGATACAAACAGAATTACCCCATACAGATATTTTAAAATTTATATTATGGAAGACCTGTATTTCTTACTTATCTGTTGGTACTGGTGAGAAATAGCATCAATGAACACTTACTGAAATAAAATTCTTAATATGTGAACTGCATATTGTTGTAAGTGAAATGAACTATATCAAAATGACATTAAGTTATCTGCATTTCATCTTTAAATTTCACTGAGGAACATAACGCTGCATATAAAATGCATATGAAAAGACAAATTATTGTTATAGTAACCTTCTGTTAAACAAAACTTATGAAAAATCAGTATTGCCTTATGATCTTTGGTGCTCAGACTCTGAGCCTGCAGTCAATTGGGTCAGACACAACACAATGGATTTATGAGGTTGATTAGAAAGATGTTTTTCCTATGCTCCCAGTAGTTTTGGTGAATAATACTTGCATCATATGACAAGATTATGCATTATTTTTTCAATTTACATGGAGGAACACTGCAACACAATATAAGGACAATCAAATGAATCAAAATGACATATCTGAAAACTTTTTTGTCATCCTAAAAATATCCAAGTTACATGATTTTATTTGATTGAATAAAAGCATTGGAGCAAAACTTCCCATTTGTGAAAAGCTATCATCAGAACTTGTGTTCTGTACAAATTCTCAAGTGTTTTTTCTTGACATCTTTTTAAGAATACTTAGCTTCCTGTGAGAAATGAATTTGAAAGTAAATCTAGGTAACATTAGAGAAGTTTCCAAACAAATTCCCTATTTGTTACCATTGCCCAAGGAAGAAGAATTAAAAACAACAGTATGTTCTTCTATGTAGTAATGCTGCTCATAGCAAAGCTGTACCACATATCAAAAAGGATGACTTAGACAACCCTACAATCCCTTTCAAATGCATTTATTGTTTTTATATAGAAGTGGTCTCTGCTTCTTGAAAAAAAACAAAACAAAACAAAACAACAGCAACAACAACAAAAAAAAACACTATGTGTTTAATTGTGTTTGTATCTTGCTATACAACAATGTGGAATATCTAAAACTAAGAGAATTTTTGCTAATTACAGTCAGCACTAGAAACCAATAGCAAACACCAAAGATCTATGTCTATTTTCAGCAGTCAGTTCAATTTCTAAGAACCTAAAGAGAGGGAAGTTCAGAAGTATATTTTAAAAATGAACACAAAACAGAACTTGCCTTCATCTCTATCATCTTGCACAGTATTATTGGATCTCACTGTACTCTGTAACTATTATAACATGAGTAAATACTCCCCGTCAAGAGAATTGTTAGTGATTAATACTAATGCCAGAATTCCAGCTCTTTCTAAAGTGATCAGTAGAAGCGGTTGACATTTCCAGAGACTATGCACTTGATAATTAATTGCATATTTATGAGTATCTTATATGCTTAATGTTAAAGCAGAAATATACAAGAGGCTCTCTAAATATCTTTACTCCCCCTTCAAGTGACATTCATATAGCACTATAAGAAATTTCATAAAAGAAGGAGACTCAGAAATATGCTCAAAGCTCCTAAAATGAGGAGGACAAGAATCACAGGTACAGTTTAAGAGATTTCAAAGTGACCACTCAAGTTTTTACTGTTATACACATGCTTACATATCTCATTGAATCAAATTCATAGTTGCCCTTTCATTTCAGCTAAATTCTGAATGCACAGTAAAGCAACTCTTCATGCATCTTGCACTTTCCAAGTCACTGAGAACCAGAAAAAACATATAAGCATTAAAATGGGAAACGGGAAGCTTCAATCATAGTCAGAAAAGGACTTTCTTCCCATACAGAATGGTGTTGCCAGCTGAAAAGGGCAAAGAATAAGACAATACTCATTGCTGGCTAGGCAATGGCAAAATATTGGGAATTTGCAAACTTCAGTGAATAGTGAGGGAAGGATAGGCTTGATCATTACCAAAGATGCATTTCCCTGTTGTTATGCATACAGTTCTGGGCACTACCCAAAATTAGAATGAATTTAACTACATTAGAATGTAACTACAGAATAGTTACAGTTAGAAGCATTGCCTTTCCTGAAGACTGCTACCTCTATTAGCAAATGCTCTTTCAGAAGTAGAATACAACCTTCAGCTCTGTAAAGCACCTTAATCTTTTTGTTCTCACAGGCAGTATTTAATAATCTTTATTTCTTATTTAATTGCTGTGTAATAACTCCATAACTCCATAAACAAACTCCATTTGTTTATTTTTTTTTTCTTTAGAAAATAACCATAAGGCTAAGCTGTAGAAGTGTTAAGGGAAGTAAACAAGAGGCAGATGCAAAGCTAATGATACTGATAGCAGCGATTCCTTGACTTAAAGCAGAAGGCAGTCAGTACACTGAACTAAACTCTGCAGTTCTGCATCAGCAACAGAGATTCCAGTGCTGACAGCAGTACAACTGGAAGCAATGCCATTGAAGAGATGTCTCTTGTTTTGATTTTTAATCCTA